CACGTGCTCCCACTCGATCCGGCCACACCCATCACAGCATCACTGAGGGGTTGAGTGTGAGGCCCCCTGGAGCCACAGAGCAGGGACCCAGCCTGGGGCAGGTGCTCAGGTAACCTGGGACCCCCCACCCCCGCCTTCCCCAGCAAACTCCCCTACAACCACGTCATCACTGACTGTCATGGGGCTTCCCGCTGGGCTCCGGGCGCAGAGGGGGGGAAGGAATGCCAGTAGCTCCACCCAGTGCCACTGAGACCTGCACCTGAGGGGAACTGAGCCTGAGAGAGAAAATGCTGCCCGCGTGATGCTGAGCCAGGCCACTGGACTCCACGCAGCCAGTGCCCACGCAGGGCCCCCGCGGCGCCGCATAAGCAACCCCTGTCCAGGCCTCACCTCATCACCTGTGAAATGGGGGCAGGAAGACGCTGGCGCCCCGGGGAGGGGGGGCACCAGGGCCGTGGGCGGCTGGGAGGTAAGTCAGGGCGTGGGGGCGGGAGGCGCCGGAGCTGGCTGCTGGAGTTATCCCCCTGGGGATATTTTTAGGTGGACTACTTTCTGTCCCCTCCCCCTGCTCAGGAGGAGGAGGAGCACAGAAATAGCCAGGTGTGCGTGTCTGGGCCGGCTATAAATAGTGAGCACAGCACCCAGGCCCCCAGGCTACTCCCACTTGCAGGAGCGGGGAGGGGGAGAGAGGGAGGGCCCATTCCTGTCCAGCTGCCCAGGGCTGCTCCGCTCCATGGGCTCCCTCCACATGGACGCACACACGCACCTGCACGCACCTGCGCACACTGGGGCAGTGGCACCCCCAGGGACCTAGTCTCGGGGCACTTGTGAGAGCAGGGAGGCAGGTGAGAAGTGGACAAGGAGGTGACCTCCAACACCCAGCCCTGGGCCTCCTCCAGTCTGGGGACAGCTGACCCGATGAAATCTCACGGAAGATACAACTGAAGTGGAGCCCGTTCCCCCAGGGGCGTCTCTCGGAGACCCCATTGTTCAGGTGGGGAAACTGGAGGCCAGGACCAGGTTCTTCTTGGTGAAGGGGAGGAGATAAGGGCAGCACCCACTTCCAGGGTGACTGTGAGAGCCCCTGAGACACAGGAAGTGCTGGAGGGTGGGCGGCCAGCCATCACTGACAGGTGAGCCACACCTGCTCCGGGCAGGAGGTACCCAGAGTCCCTTCTGCCTCCCTGGGCCACAAGTCCCCACTGGGCCGGGCTCAGCCTCACAGCCAGGGGTCGGTCCATTCCCCCAACACCCACAGGGGCTGCCCTGCCACTCCCCGATTGGAGCGCCTGTGCCCGCCTCCAGCCTCCTGCTAATGTGGTCTCTGGGGGTCAGTGGTGATGGCTCGGGAACTTGGCGGGCCTATGAAGAGTCTTCCAAAGTTTGCAGACAGAATTAAAAGGGAGCGGGCATGGGATGCAGGGGTTAGGAAGTCCACACCCCACACTGGAGAGCCGGAGTTCAAATCCCAGTTCTGCTCCCAATCCCAGCATCCTGCTGGTGCGCACCCTGGGAGGCAGCAGTGACGGCTCAAGTACTTGGGTCCCTGCCACCCACGTGGGAGCCCTGGACTGAGTTCCTGGCTCCCAGCTTTGGTCCTAGCTCAGTTCCAAGTGTTGCAGGCATTTGGGGAGTGAGCCAGCTGTTTTTTCTCTCTCTCCCTCTGCCTTTAAAATAAAATTTTAAAAAGCTGAATTTATTTGGCAAAAGCCATACCAGTTGAGAAATCCACGGAGAGCTTTTTTCACAATCGGTCTTTCCCGAGAACTTTCTGAAGACCTCTTGCAAACAGGCTGTGCTGAACCTCTGTCCAGGGCCAGAGAGGGATGGAGTCCAGGGCGGGGAATTCGGCCATGAGCTTGGCAGGGAGGGGCGGAGCCTGTTTCCCCGGCTGCCCTGACTCCCCACACAGGGGCTCCTTATGAGAAGGGCCAGTGGCCTCCGGAGACGGAGACACCGAGGACAGGGCAGGGGAAGGCCTGTCTGGGGAACACGGAAACCCACAGGCAGAACCCATTACCACTCCCACTCCACCTCCACCACCAGCCCCTCTCGTGGGTGGAGCCTCTGTCTGCCGGGAGGATGGGGTGAGCGTGGGAGGCCCCAGCCCTGGGAACAGCCCCCTGCGGAGCCCCTGCCACGTGCCAGGTGGGGTCGGAAGACTCGCGCGGCATCATCTCAGCCAGTCTTCCTACAGTCCCACGAGGAAGCAGCTGCACACCCATTGGACAGATGAAGCTGGGGATCTGCCCCAGGCTGCATAGTTCACAGTGGAGCCCACAGCATGAGCCCAGGCAGAGGGGCTCCGCTGGGGTGAGTGCTAAGTGCCCCCCAGCACCTCAGAAGTGCTCGGGGCCAGAGGTCGGGTGGGCGAGGGGCACGGGCACTGGAGCTAAGTGAAGCGGAAACTGAGCAATGTCTGCAGCAGACACACTGTGGTCTTTGGAAGGCGAACTTCAGGCCTTCAACCCCCATCGGTCATTCCCAGACTTAGAAAGCAGGGGGGCTCCGGCGTGGGTCAGCGACGCAGGCCACGTGCAGTGCTGGGCCAGGAAAGTGCGGCAGCGAGGATGGGGTGGCAGCGGCTGCCCAGCAGGCCCCTTCCCCAGGCCTCCTGAGCTGGGCTGGGTGGACCCAGGCCCCCTTGGACTATCCATGGATTTCACAAATCTTACGGTTTTACCAATTTTAAAGATTTTAAAGGCAGAGAGAGAGGGAGAGAGATGGGACTGGTCCCCTCAGCTGGGTGTCCAGTCCCTGTGCCCATGTGTGGCTTCACGGAGGCAGAGCATCCGGCCAAGGAGGGGCTACACCAGCGTCAGCACTGACTACAGGCAGGCCAGGCTCCCAGACCTGCATGCACCTCCCTCCCGCTCAGACTCCCAGATTTACATAGCACCTCCCTCCCAGGTTCTCAGATTTGCATAATACCTCCTTCTCATGTTCCCAGATTTGCATAGAACTTTCATCCCAGGCTCCCAGATTTGCATAGTACCCCCCTCCTGGGCTCCAATTTGCATAGCACCTCCTTCCCCCACTCCTAGATTTGCATAGCATCTTCCTCCTAGGCTCCCAGATTTGCATAGCACCTCCCTCCTAGGGGGAATCTCTGATTTGCATAGCACCTCCTTCCCACACTCCCAGATTTGCATAGCACTTCCCTCCCGGGCTCCCCAATTTGCATAGCACCTCCTTCCCACACTCCCAGATTTGCATAGCACTTCCGTTGACTCCCAGATTTGCACAGCACTCCTTTCCCACGCTCCTAGATTTGCATAGCACTTCCTTTGACTCCTATTTGCATAGCACCTCCCGCTCATGCTCCTTTATTTGCATAGACCCACCCCCTAGGCTCCCAGATTTGCATAGCACCTCCCTCCCATACTCCCTGATTTGTATAGCACTCCCTTTGACTCTGATTTGCAAACTACCCCTCCTCCCGCCCCCAGGTTCACAAATTTGTATAGTGCCTTTTTCCGGGTATTCCAGGCCCCAATACTGTGCTCAGCTCACATCCAGAGCACAGGATTTCTCTATTCCAATATCGCAGGGGGCCACTGCACAAGTCAAATCACCGACCAGACTGGAGGTGTGTCCGGCTGTGCCGAATGACTTCCCCTCCCACCAGCCACAGTCAGCTGCGGGGATCTGAACCTGCCCCTTCTCTTCTCTGCCCAGACCAGCATCCCTGCCTCTGAATCCGGTACCTCTGGGCTCCCTGGAGTCGCTTGCCGGCCTCTACCTGCTCCCAGCCTCCCAGCGTGCAGGGGCCGCCCCACTCCCCCCTCCCCATCCCAGGCTGGGACAAGGGCCTGGAGCAAGTTCTAGGCCACCCCAGGGATGGCATGATTCAACTGTCACTGCCCAAGGGCAGAGGAGAGGAAGTGGGTGACAGACACGCCCCAGGGAGGGACCCCAAGAGACTGGGCCTGAACAGCCCTCCTGGACCACACAGGCGTCCCAGCTCTCACCCCTCACGCTGGCAGACGGCCTGGTGGCCTAGGGCGTGGCTTCCAGCCATGTCCCTCCCCTCGGAGTCCCGCACTGGGGTGGGGGCGGGGTCAGTGAGCAGGTGGTGGGGAGTGATGGGTAGACCCTGGGACGTGGCATCCATCTGCCAGCCTGGCTTCCCACCTGAGAAGGGAACAAACTGCTCCCTCTCACGGGCTGTTACTGCTAAGATTAATGAGCTAATTACAGTGTGAAAAAGTATTTAAAAAGAGGTGGCCAACCACAGCAAAGTAATAACAAGCAACACCCTCCTCTAGACAGTCTGCCTGGACTGCACCCCCACAGGCAGCATGACCACACCAGCCCCTGCGGGACGTCCAGGCAGACGGGGCTGTGCTCTCCGCCAAGGCTGCGCTACAAAACACGGGATGTGCATTCTCACAGCTACTGAGCCTCAGCTGTGGACCAGGCTCTCCGCACCTGGCTTCCACCAAGCACAACGCCCAGGGGAGGCACTGTGAGGACGAATCGGGGAGAGGGTCACAGACAGGGGAGAAAGCACAAGTCCGACCCCAGGGTCTCACTACCCCTGCCCTGTGCCCTGCTGGGCCAGCTTCGGTGGAGGGCGGGGACCTCGCCCCTCAAGTCCTCCTGCCCCCCTCCGCCGCTGCTGTGCAGGGCCAAGCTGACTCAGCAGGTGTGGCTGGGGGGGGGGGCATGCTGACTCAGCAGGCGTGCCAACTTAAAACAGAGCCCTCCCAGGAATTGGCCACGGAGCAAAGCCTCCTGGGACGAAGTCAGTGGGGGACTCCAGGGCCGTGGGGAGGGGCTGATAGACAGCAGTTCTGCTTTGCCTCCCCAGGTACAGGGATGGAGTCCCACACAGGGCCAGGCCCCCACCAGCCCCAGCACCCCAGCTTGGACTGCTACCCTGGCCTGAGCCACAGGCGGGCCTGCCTCACGGAGAGGCCCACGGCTCTGCTGCCTCCTTGATGGGGGCCTCTGGGACCCCAGCACACCAGGGAGCCACCCTCCTCCCCACACCTCACCTGGTTCCACTCCCAGCGACTCAACAGCGCCCCCTGCAGACACAAGGCTGGCACAAGGTGGGCTGGCGCACGGTGTGGGCTCCGGCTCGGGGACAGAAAGGGTGGCAGTCAGAGGCCGTGCAGAGGAAGCCTGGGCGCTGCCGGCACAGCCCCTCAGCCCCGCCGCAGCCACCGGTACAGGTCACCACTGCTCACCTCTCACAGGCAGGGCTTGGGGTTCCTCACGGGGCACCTGCAGAGAGACGGCAGGGAGGGCTCGTGAGAAGATGGACAGCCCTAGGCCCACCCTCCCCGCCTGGCATCAACCACCCCTAGGGGTCGCCCGGCCTGGGCTCCCCAGGGGCGTGGGGCAGATGGAGCAGGAGGGGATCTAGACCCAGAACTGTGCTGGGGCTACAGCTGCCTGGGGAGGGGCTGTGCAAACCACGCCTGCCCGCACCCTTCTCTGACCCTGGACATGCAGGGTGGAACCCTAAATCTCCCCTTGTAGGGCCCGAGGAGAATGGCTCCCTGGCCCTCTGTTCCACCTCTGCCTGGCACCTTCCCCTGCGCCTGGCTCACCCAGGAACCCGGGCCCAGCCTCACTGACCTGCCCAGCAGGAGGTGGGCGGGCCGGGGCTTGCATGAACAGCCTGTGGGCCCCTCCCCCAGGTTGCTGACCAGTGGGGCCAGGGTGGGGCCTGGGAATCTGCATTTCCAACAAGCTCCCGGGGTGAGGATGCTGTCGCCGTGGGCATCACGTTTTGAGGATGTGTCCAGCCTGCAGAGCTCCGAGCTCACACCCTAAGGAGCACACAGGCTGGCTGGGAGGCCCACACTGCATGTGCACGCATGCCTACACACACACACGTGCACATGAGTATCCCCACACAGCCAACACACAGCAACCTTAGCAGGAAACATGAGCTCCACACGCTAAGGAGATCTGACAGGGCGGGGCCATGGGCTGGTGCCGTCAGGGAAGGCTTCATGGTGGAGGTGGAGACCTAATGACCGTTTTTACATGTTACAGTCTCATCACAAAAGCCACACATGACTGCATTCTAAGAGTCCCAGAAAAGGCAGCCTGCAGAGACATCACAACCTCATTCCAGAGCGACTGGCCGCCGGCCCTTTGGGGGGAACTGGCAGTGAAAGCGCACACGGTGCCGCCGTGCGGGAGGTACACACACACACACACACACACACAGGCTCAGCGCTGGGGCGTGGCTGCACTCCCAGCCGAGCAGGAGCATCCGAGACCTCCCAGGCGCGCCGGCAGCCGGATCACTGGCCCTTGGTGAGTACCTGCTCTGTGCCAGTCGCCAGGCTGAGCGCCCCAGCCACTTCCCCCCCCCCCACCTGCACAGCCGCCCGAGCACGACGCTGCCCTGAGCCTGGCTGTGTGGCGAGTGGAATCGGAGCAAGCTGCCCAGGAGGGCTCTGCGCAAGGCTGAGCCCTGAGCAGAGACCCTGTGCCTCCACAAGGCTACACCAGGCGCTCCCCTTGGGGGTGAACCTCTCCTCTCTCGCGGACCCCGAGGACGAGCGCTGTGGAGTTCCACGTTTTTATTTCAAACGTTGCCGGAAAAAAGCACCCTGCCTTGGTGAGCGCGTGTGCAAGTATTTCTCTACCCAAAGGTTAGGTCGAACCATGTGTTTCAAAAATGTCACTCATTTATTATTTTATTTATTTGGAAGGTGGAAAGACAGAGAGAGTCCAAGCACCCCCCAGTGGCTGCAGCGGCTGGGGCTGGGCCAGGCCAAAGCCAGGAGCCCAGACCTCCGCGCAGGTCTCCCGCGTGGGTGGCGGCCATCGCTGCTGCCTCCCAGAATCCACACGGGCCGGAAGCTGGAGTCAGGAGCGGAGCCAGGACCTGACCCAGGCCCTGGGATATGGGCTGTGGGAGTCCCAAGCAGTCTTAAGTGCTGTGCCAAACGCCTGCCCCTGTACATCTTCAATTTTGATACCTGCTGCCAATCTGTCCCGTGGACTTCCCCACGTGAGCTCCGCCCAGTGCATCTACTGAGCATCTATTATGCACCACTTGGGTCCTCATCTCTGTTTTGCAAAACAAGAAACTCGGGCACTAAAAGGTTCACCTGCTCACCCAGTGCCAGAGCACCAGAGCTCCCCGCACCTGCTCAGGAGGAGAGGGCGGGAACTCCGTGCACCTGCGCAGGAGGAGGCAGGGGAGGGAGATCCTTTGACTGTGCCTGCTCCTCCATTTTTCTGTACCAACTGCCCTTCAGTTGAAAGAGGGAGAGAGAGGGAGAGGGAGAGGGAGAAAGAAAGAGAGAGAAAGAGAGAGAGAGAGAGAGAGAGAGAGAGAGAGAGAGAGAGAGAGAGAGATCGCCAGAAAGAATGAGAAAGAGTGCTCCACTATGTGGGTTCTCTCCTCAAACACCGCAGGCTGTGAGCTCCATCCAGGTCTCGCACGTGGAAGGCGGAACCAGGACCCACCTACTTGAGCCATCACCGCTGCTTCCCGCGGGTCTGCACTGGCAGGCAGCTGGAATCAGGAGCTGGGTATGGAACCCAGGTGCTCCCACAAGGGACGCGAGTGTCTTAACTGGCATCCTAGCGCCTCCACCAAATGCCCACCCCTCCGCTCCCCTTCAAGAGCTACCTGTGCTGGGGCCGGCGCTGTGGAGTAGCAGGTTAAGCCTCTGCCTGCAATGCTGGTATCCCACATGGGTGCCGGTTCCGATCCAGCTCCCTGCTGCTGCACCTGGGAAGGCAGCAGAAGGTGGCCCAAGTGCTTGGGCCCCCACACTCACATGGGGGACCCGGAGGAAGTTCCTGGCTTCGGTCTGGCCCCACCATTGTGGCCATCTGGGGACTGAACCAGCCAGCAGATGAAGAACCTCCCCCTCCTGCTGGAGGATTCTGGCTTTCAAATAAATAAATAAATAAATAATAAAGCCGCCTGTGTGTGGGAGTCCCCACACCCTCAGCTCCCTCACTCCCTCTTCAGGGGGCTTCTGCCTTCACCCCCCCAACACTGTTGCCACCAACCTGCCCGGGTTGTGCCACCCACTGTGGTCATCCCTGGCCCCATCTGGGCAGCAGCAGCCACTGCTGACTGCTTCCTCCGTGGGGGGGAGGGTAGGGGCTGTTTCTCAGGGCTCCCAGGACCCAGCCCTCTTAGCCGAGGCTCCTCTCCTGTCCACACACTCCTGGCCACTGCGTCCCAGCCTGGATCCCTCTCGCCAGCCCCAGCCCCTGTGGGGCGCCAGCTCCCGCATCCACCCCGAGGCCTGCGTGCCACCCGCCAAAGCCACCCCAAACCAAATGCTCACTCTGGTCCCCCACATATGCCTCCTTCAGCCTCGCCACCCTGGTCCCTCATGCCACAGGCAAGCCGTCGGCAAGCCAACCCGCCCAGGCCAACTGCCTGCCCCACTGCTCTGCCTCTGCCTCCGGCCTCACTCGGGCCCCAGCTGTCACGGCTGTGAGAGGGTGGGACCCGCGGGTCCTGTCACTCCCCTGCCATCAGCAAGGGGCTTCCAGGCATAGAATCAACGCCACGCTCTCCTCAAAGCCTGCAGGGCCTGCTCACCTCCCACTCTCACCTCCTGCCACGGTCGCCTCCCCCATAGGTGTCCCGGGGTCTCCTGTTTGCTCTGGACTTTCTTACCCTCATCCAGATGGAACCCCCTCACCTGCCCTGACCCCTCCATGTGCCCCAAGCCCCTCCCAACCCTCACAATGTCCCTCCCCCCAATCCTTGCTTCCTGCCTGTCTCATCACCAGGTCAACCCCAGAGGAGGCAGGGGCTGGGCAGGGGGAGGGCGCGCGTCTGTCCCCCCTGCCCCGTTCACCCCTACACTCCCTCCATGCTTGGCACACAGTAGGTGCTAAGTGACTCTTTGCTGACTGATCCAATGAGCAGTGCACAAGCTGCCTGGGTGTGAAGTGGGAAGGGGCCGAGGGCACCCCCAGAGGGCAGGGTGCTCTGAGCAGGGGTGGGGCCCCCAGAAACCAAGGGGACCTGGGGCTGCCTCACCAGCACCAGCACCAGCAGCCCGGCCCGGGGCCAGAGGAGCTGGGGGCAGGCGGCGGCGGCAGAGCGAGGCTGGCAGGAGGCCTGCGTGGCTGCCAGCAGCTGGCGCAGCTGCCGGCCGGCCGGTAACCACGTTAGGCAGCGGAAACGGGTCCAGGGAGCTTTTCCCCTCCGCCTCCCGGCTGCTTTCTCTTCCCTCCCCGCTCAGAAGATTGATCTTCGCCTGCAACGGAGGAGATAACTCGATATAATGAACTCCGCCGTCCCTCTTGCTGCCTGGAGCCTCTAAAAAATTTAAAAGGGCTGGGGACAAAAAAAAAAAAAAAGCCAACCTCAGGGCTCTCGGGCTCTCGCCCTCCCAGGGAAGCCCCCCTGCCCTGCCCTCACACCCCTCCCCCAGCGCGGCACCTGCCTCCCCCAGCCCCTGCCTTCCCCCTTGGGATGTCTTGATGGAAGAAAGGTTAAAAATAGCCACTTTCCCTGGCAGATTTTAAAAATAATTTCGATGAGGTCAGGGCTGGGCCTCCCGACCTCCCTGCCCCCACAGCCCCCTCTTCTGTGGCTGCCCCCACCCCCCAGAGTCACCAGCCAGCCTGGGGGTAACAAGTCGGCTCTGTCCGCCTGTCCTCAAAGCATTTCCGAAAGGAAGCAGTGAGGCCGGCTGCCCCCTGGGGCGTGCCAGCCACGGCTTTTGTTCCCACAAACAGCTCTTTAAAGAGAGGCCTAGCACACACAGAGGCCACGGCGGTGCACATGAGCCGAGCAGAGGGCCACGGCAGTGGACAGGAGCTGAGCACACACAGGGCCACGGCAGTGGACAGGAGCTGGGCACAGAGGGCCACGGCAGTGGACAGGAGCTGGGCACACACAGAGGGCCACGGCAGTGGACAGGAGCTGTGCACACACAGAGGGCCACGGCAGTGGACAGGAGCTGGGCACACACAGGGCCACGGCAGTGGACAGGAGCTGAGCACACACAGAGGGCCACGGCAGTGGACAGGAGCTGGGCACAGAGGGCCACGGCAGTGGACAGGAGCTGGGCACACACAGAGGGCCATGGCAGTGAACAGGAGCTGGGCACACACAGGGCCACGGCAGTGGACAGGAGCTGAGCACACACAGAGGGCCACGGCAGTGGACAGGAGCTGAGCACACACAGAGGGCCACAGCAGTGGACAGGAGCTGAGCACACACAGAGGGCCACGGCAGTGGACAGGAGCTGGGCACACACAGAGGGCCACGGCAG